AAATGCAGGTGTCGAGCTTTGGCATCCTGATGTAAAGCTTTTTTCTGTTTCTGACTTGAGTTCTAAAGAGCCTCTTGGATATTTATTCTTAGATTTGTACTCCAGGTCCAACTTTTTTGTTTGTTTTGTTTTTTATTTTTTCATCCTTCACAGTATAACTTCCTATTAGAAACTGATGTCATGTTGCTTGGTGTGCAGGGAAGGAAAATATACTCATACTTGTGTTGTATCTCTTCAAAATGGTTCACTGATCAATGGCACGAGACAGGTGATGGTAGTGTATGAGTGTTGAGTGGCTGTTCAATATTGATCTTTTTTGCCCTTATTGTCAATTTTTTGTGAATCCAGATTCCCGTGGCATTGCTTGTTTCTCAATTTGATAAGGAAATTGGAGCTCCTCCAGGGTTATTGAGATTCTCTGAAGTGGTCAATCTTTTCCATGAGTTTGGTCATGTGGTATGCAAATTTAAGTTTGAATACATCATTTCTTGTTTTCGGGAAAAATAGAAAACAGGGGTGGGGGTGGGGCGGTGTTAAATTCAAAATTTCCAACTTATGAAATGATCATGTTTTTCAAATTTAGTAAATACAAAAACTATTGAGCTTCACTTATATAATCACCATTATCAGTATTTAACTATTCTTCCCCCCGCCCCCCCCCCCCCTCCCCCCCCCCTCCCCTCCGCTCGTGCGGCTACCTTCACCTTACCTCAACTAGATTCATTATTATCATCACTTTATCCACTATATTTTTTACTCTAACTTGCATCTACCTACCTCAAATCAATATCATTGTCATTTACCATTGGTGTTTGTATTTTTATATGAATAAAACAATTGGATCCAAATAATTTATTTTATAAATTGGAAAATAGTTTAATTTGAATATATTTTTTTTCCAAGAAAAAAATGAGAACTTGAAAAAGATTGAGAAATTGGAGATGAAAAATAGAAAACAAAAAATTGTAACTAAACAAGCTCAGTTTTGTTTGCTCATATATACCCATGATTAGTCCGTTGAATATTGGCCAAAGTTTGAATTGAATATTTTTTGGTGCATTTAAGAGGGTTGAGGGTTGAACCTGTGACCTATCTAGAGTTATAGATTCATACCACTCGATCAGTCGATCATAAGGCTTTGGCAAAGTTTCAATTGACTATAAACCTACCTTTCAAGTTTCAAGTAGCATTTTAAGTTTGTTTCCCCTTTTTCTTCAAATCCAAGTATTAGCCTATATTTCACCATAACCAAGCTTATGTCTCTGTTATTTGATGCTGGTGAACATTCAGATAAATCACATGTGCAATCGTGCATCATTCCCCAAATTCTCTGGGTTGCGCCTGGATCCTGATTTTGTCGAGATTCCTGCCTTGCTGTTTGAGAATTGGTTTGTTTATTGCCAACTTTGTTTGTGGATATTATAGTTAGTCATTTGTTCCTGCAATCAAATTGTAAATCTCTGTGCTAGGTGTTACGAGAGCCTCTGCTTGAAGCTGATATCTGGTTTTCATCAGGTGATGCATATGTTCAATTTGCAATTTCTATTTTATTTTCCCATTCCCTGAAAGCAAAAAATTTATAGAATATTCCTAACACATATCTGGTAATGTGTGATTATTAGGATATCACAAAGCCTATCAAGGAGGAACATTGTAAAGCACTCAAGAAATGGAGATATTCTTTCTCAGCATTGAAATTAAAACAGGAGATATTTTATTGTAAGTTTGTTTAGGAGACAACTTATAGCTTCATTATCATCTAAAGTTGGATTTCCTGTCGTGAGGCGGCACATTTACTTCTGACAGTGACTATCCCCCTATCATTTACTGAGGTTGAATGTGTCTGCTGTCAGGTCTTTTTGATCAAATTATTCATTCAACTGAGAATGTTGATATAATTGGGCTATTCAAACATCTCTACCCAAAGGTATGTGCTTCCAAAAGTGTCCGGCTGTTTATGGAATCCCTAAGCTTTATCTGCTAATCAGTTTTCTATCTCTCCAGGTCATGCTAGGTTTACCAATGTTAGAAGGAATTAATCCAGCTTCCTGTTTTCCCCAAACTGCTATTGGCTATGAAGCTACTTGCTACAGTCGGATATGGAGCGAGGTTGGATTTCCCATTTCTCCCAAAGCTTTTCCCCATTAATACCCATACATATACGACTAGCTAGGAATACCTTTCTGACAAATTTTCTTCGTTCCTAATAGGTTTTTGCAGCTGACATATTCACCCAAAAGTTTCGGGATGATATTTTTAACCAACAATCAGGCTTGCAATTCAGGGACAAGGTAACCCACCAAGTGCACTCTTGAATATGATAATTCCTTGCAATGAAGCTCTAAAATTCACAAGTCTAAATTTATGCTAGATCACCATCTCACCAGAAATTTTCACATTTTCAAATCTATAATTTTGATAACCTGACTACTATAGATGTGGAATTAATGGTGCTGCCGTTTTCTTGAAGGCCATGCTTTCTAGATATTCATTAGTTAATCATCAATTCGTAATCGCATTGATGGTATTTGAATTCTCATTATTATGTTCCAGGTATTGGCTCCCGGAGGAGCTAGTGATCCCCTTCAACTGTTATCAGATTTTCTTGGGAGAGAACCGTCAGTAAAAGCGTTTCTGAGTAGCAAAGTTGATTCAAGCTCGTTTTTATCTTGATGGAGCAAGGTGATTTTCTTCGTTCAAATCCTGTATGATTTACTAGTTAGCAAAAATTCTGCATTTTTCCCCCTTTATTTATTGTTTTTGCACAAGCAGTATGTCGCAAAAAATCAAAAATACTGTGGGTAAACTATAATTCTTCTATACAAATTATAATGTATTAATATGGTTTTTTGTGCACCCATTATATGAGTTCATTAATATATGAATACTTTAACACTTCTTCTTCTCCCAGACTTTAACACTTCACATGCCTGATGGGCGAGGTGTTGAGCGTACAAGTGGTATAAAATACGGAGTATAAAACATCAATAAAATAATATTAAACGCAACAAATTAAATTTAAAAATAATAAGAAAATACTCAACGGGGAGTTTTTAAAGAGTTTTTTCTGTTGCGTTGCAGAAAAGAGGAGCTGATGTGGTATAGACTAGTATAAGAGAGAAAGATCAAGTTCTTTTATAATAATTTACTTTTTTTTTTAATTAAAAAAAACATGCACAATGCTTGCACGAATGCTGCCTTGTGGGCATGCTCACACAGGGCAATTAGTCTGGTTGCGAACTAAAACTAGTAGAAGATAATTAATGGATTAAATGTAATTTCCGTTTAAAAAAAATTAATTCCAATTAAAACATCATTCTATTTTTTTTAATACAAAACAAAAAGGGGACACCTCAAGCTATAAGCCAACTAATTATTTAAAATAGACATTCCTTTTTGTCAAGACATATTCGAGTGATTTGTCATTGTAGCCATTCCAAGAAAAGAGAAGGATCATTCCTCATTACAACCTTTATCATGTTAAAGAGCCTCCCATGAATACTGCTTGCTAGATTTTCTAGAATGATCAAGTCTTAGTGTGCTCATGTCTTTTCTAATTAGTTATTCACTTATTTGGTAACGACGAACTGCACAATCAAATATCAAATAAGAAGATTAATACCTTTTACTCACGTAAATTAAAGTCCTTTCAGAATACTTCAAGTCTTAACCTTCACCACCCTACAAGCCAATATTACAAGCCAAGACTAAAATAAACATTTTATTGTGAATAAACATCAATTTTCATGGAAAATGTTTCTTTGGAGAGCCACTAGTGATATATTGCCTACCACTACAAACTTGCTTATAAAGAGGGTGGATGTGGATCCACAATGTGCCATGTGTGGAATATCTCAAGAGGATACAATGCATGCTTTAGTGTTGTGTGATTATGCAAGAAACATTTGGGAAAAATCTAACCTCACGATCCCTAATATAGTCACAAATGTTTTTCATGATTGGTTTAGTGAACTCTTAAATGTTCTAGACTCTGATGGAATGTTATATGCAGCAGTAATTCTTTACAATGTTTGGAGAGCAAGGAACAGGGCGGTCTGGGAGGCAACGTTACCGCGTCCCGAGTCGGTACTCAAGGCCGCAGCTGCTGCCGTTTTAGCGTGGACGCGGACGCACCCACTGCCCACGCCCCGAACTGCTATGCTATCATCCGGGACGGTGGGATCCGGGCAGCATGGCGTCGAGTTGCACACTACCGAGACGTCGCATGGTCCGCCGAGGAGGCTATGCCGTGTGGATGGGGGTTTTATGCACGAGACGGCCAACGCTGCATTTGGGGCGGTCTTACTAGACACGAACGGAGGCTACGTCTCGGCATGCAGCGGACCGTTACGAGGATGCTCCTCGCCACTTATGGCCGAGGCGCTCGCATGTAAAGAGGCTCTATCATGGTTGAAGGATCGGGGAGAACAGAATGTCGAGATATATACGGACTGTTTGGCACTGCATCACTATCTTACTACACCAACCGTTGTGCTGCGCACGTACTTAGGCTATGCCATTGACAACTGCAGGCTTACTTCATCTTTATTTCAGTCTTGTTCGTTTCATTTAATTCCTAGATTAGATAATTATTTAGCTCATGCTTTAGCAACTACGGCTTACCAGCAAACTGCTACTATGTATTGGGATCTGCTCCCACCAGACATTCTTTCGGCCTATTTTTAATGAAACACCATATATATTTCAAAAAAAAAAACATCAATTTTCATATTCTATTTTACAATTTACAAAATAATTAAAAAAAAATATTCCCACGGGGCCCCACAATTCTACGGAGTATACATTTTCCATAAGCGCGGGCATAAAATAAATAAATAAAACAGGGAAATACGGAGTAGTTATTAAAATATTAAAGAAAAAAGAAAATTGAAAACCACAAAAAAGACCACGAAGACCACTACGGTGTCGTTTTGCAGAAGCTCACAAAATCTGGGTCAGATTAAGGAAACTAATCTCTACGTAATGAAGAAAGAAAATTTTGGCCGAGTCAACAAAAGGCATCGAATGCAAAAAAGAGAAAAGACAAATCAAGAAAGCCCAGTAATCAGAACCGTCTTCTAAGTCTAAGGTGCTTTCGATTTCAACGTTTTCCGCTTCGTCTTTCGCTGTAAGCATCATCGCCGATACTTCTCTCCGCCACCCTCGAAACCCACAATCTATTACATACGCTTTACGTGTATTTACAATAATATATTTCTGTAGAATTTGTGTGTATAGCTGTCTGTTTGTGTAAGAATCTCTGGGTGTTTATTGATTTCTGGATTGATATCTTGGGGTATTGTTAATTTGTGAGGAAAAATAAGGGCGGGGTGGAAAAGTGGAAAGGTTTTCTTTTGTGAATTCTGTTTTAAAGCGGTTTGCTCATTTTCATTGTATTGGAGAGCTTCGAGTGAAAAAAAGTTTGGAATTTTGAGCTTGGGTTTTGATGGGAAACTTGGAATTTTGAGTTTGGGGTTTGATGGGAAAACTAGGAATTTTGAGAAGGGCTTGGTTGTAAACTAGGGATTTGGTTTGATTAAGACGTTAGTTTTCTTTGTTGATGCTTTTGGTCAAAGTTGTTATTTAGATGAAAAAGGGAATGCTTTTCCTTCTTCCTTTGATCATGGAGCAAGCTTCATATCTTTTGGATGAAAGTAGGGTCTGGTGTTCTACCTTTTGATGAGGAATTAGAATGTGTTGTCATACTGTGGTTGTTTATTTATAGCTAGCTCTGTTTTCCTGTGTCATACCTGTGGATAAAAGAACGATCGGGGGACGGGGATCATTAATGCCCTTGGTCAGTTTTGATTGCACTTTGAGTTTAGTTTTATAGTATGCTTTTGTGGTGGGGGGTGGACTTTAGGGTGTGAAATATGATCAAGCAGATATTTGGTAAGATCCCTAAGAAGCAGCAAAAGTCGGGTGGAAACAATACCTCCGATTCAAATGCTTCAACAAGTTCGAAGAGAAGTGATGGAGGCAATAAGAAGCAGGGGGGTTCGTCCAATACTGTTATTTCATCTCCTTTTTCTGTTTCCAGTACGGGACACAGTACTGGAGATGTGAATTCAAAAATAAATAGGAATGCTGTTGTGGCTGTATATGAATTATTGCCAAGTTTCAGAGATGTTCCTAGTTCTGAGAAGCAGAGCTTGTTAATCAGAAAGCTGAACATGTGTTGTGTTGTCTTTCCATTCAATGAGCCTACAAAGAATCTCAAAGAGAAAGAGGTCAAGAGACAGACATTATTGGAGCTTATGGAGTATGTTACTTCTGCCAATATGAAGTTTACAGAAACGGTCATGCTAGAAGCAGTAAAGATGGTTTCTGCAAATTTATTCAGGGAACTCAAACCTCAACCACGAGAGAACAAGGTGGAAGCTTTTGATGTTGAAGATGATGAGCCTGCCATGGATCCTGCATGGCCACATTTGCAAATTGTGTATGAATTTCTGTTGCGATTTGTTGCATCGCCTGAAACTGATGCAAAGGTTGCCAAACGTTACATAGATCACTCATTTGTCCTCAGATTTCTTGATCTTTTTGACTCTGAAGATCCAAGAGAAAGAGAGTATCTGAAAATTATAGTACACCGCATCTATGGGAAGTTTATGGTACACAGGCCTTACATACGCAAAGCTATAAACAACATATTTTATCGCTTTATTTTTGAGACTGAAAAGCATAATGGTATTGCTGAACTATTGGAAATTTTGGGTAGCATCATCAATGGATTTGCTTTGCCACTGAAAGAGGAGCACAAACTTTTCCTCGTGAGGACATTGATCCCCCTGCACAAGCCAAAATGCTTACCTATGTACCATCAGCAGTTATCTTATTGTATTACACAGTTTGTGGAAAAAGATTGCAAGCTTGCTGATACCGTTATTAGGGGATTACTAAAGTATTGGCCAGTGACCAACAGCTCAAAGGAAGTTATGTTCCTCGGTGAACTGGAGGAAATCTTAGAAGCAACCCAGCCACCGGAATTCCAACGTTGTGTAGTGCCTCTATTTCACCAAATTGCTCGTTGTTTGAGTAGCTTTCACTTCCAGGTAATTGATTCGTTGCATTTGCATAATCACTGCTGCTTTTGTAAATCTTTTCATGTTTGAACAATTCTTTTATGGCTAAAACATCGAGGTTATTATCTTGTACTAAAGTATACATTACATTCTATTTGCTTCCACTGAAAGGTATTCTTAAAGAGGCCATTCGTTGCAGCTTTATATTCTTAAGTTGTTAGACAAAACTTCCAACAGTTGAATTCATCCCCATATTGACATGTTGCCTTCTGGTTAGGGTATTTATAGGGATTGATAATTTCAGGACATAAAAGAAGTTTTTGATTGGAGTTAATTTTTGTTCTTTGATTTTCCCTCTTTTTGTTTTCTTTTCTTTTGGGGAGTGGAGGTTATGGGCGGGTAGAAGCAGCCAATGTTAATAATGATAAGAGTTGCTAGTTCATGAAACTAAGTAGGTTCATCCCCCCTTAAAAGTGATATATACATGATTGCAATAAAGGTGGTTAGGTGTGGCCCTGTTTGGTAAATGCCTGTTAGTTGATTGGGTTAATTAGAGGGTATAACTAGTTGATAACATTAGCTGATTGTAGAAAGGTGTTTGGTAAATTAGCTGTTAGCTGATAGCTGTTTGGTATAATTTCTTTTCTCAAAAAGCTAATTGAAAAAGTTGCTTTGAGCAGCTTTTTGAATTTTAGCATTTTAGAGTTACAAAAAGCTAATTAACCAAACACTTATATTGATTTTTTAACCAAGTCAAACAATTAATAGTCGTCAAATAAGCCAAAATTGGCTGATAGGCTAACTATTTGACCAACAGGGCCAACGGCAATGCAACATGTTCCAGAAAATTTGGGTGGCAGTTGTCTTTGAAACTTGGATGTTGCTTAAGGTCATTGTTAGGTTTCCAATTTGTAGTAATGAGTTATGAAATGCGTAATCTTAGTATGTTTTTTTTGGATCCAACTTCTAGGTTTCTATATATACTTCTTATGGATTGATTAACTAGCCAACTTCTAGGTTTCTAGCACATAAGATCCTCTTGATTTGGATCCAAGTTCCGGGGTGTATTTTTTTTTAATTTTTTAATTTTTTTAATGCTAAAGAAATGATGTTCTACCTTCATATACTCTGGTGTTTTTTTACCCACAAATGGAAACATTTCAATAGTGTTCATATACCGTATACTGTGAGGGTCTAGGCCTGAACTCCTCTTCTGATGAGATAGCAAATAATATTTCCATCTCTCCCGTGCAAAATGAAGGTTAAGTAGTGTCTTCGTTTTTGTCTCCCGTGTCTCTATTTGTTCTTGATGTGATTTTGGAGACTAATCGGTATCTTTGGTACAGGTGGCGGAGAGGGCTTTGTTCTTATGGAACAATGATCACATTGACAATCTAATAAAACAAAACCGAAAGGTGGTCCTGCCTATTATCTTCCCCGCACTGGAGAAAAATGCCAGAAGCCATTGGAACCAGGCTGTCCATTGTTTATCGCTCAACATCCGCAAGGTCTTCTATGATCTCGACCCCGATCTCGTCAAAGAGTGCTTGCACAATTTCCAGGAAGATGAATCAAAGGAAGAAGAGGTTAGGTCAAGACGCGAAGCCCAATGGAAACGCCTGGAAGAACTTGCGGCGAAAAACGCTGCGAGTAATGAAGCTGTGCTCGTGCCTCGGTTAGGGATTCCTCGAACTTGATCCCCGTGGGGGTGGGGCTTTTAGATTTCCGCTTTCTTGGCTTTTAATTGTATTTTCTTGAAAGCTTTTTTGTTATCAGAGAAAAAAAATTGCAGCTGAGATGAGTTGTCAAAGGGAATAGTTGTGTTCCTGTTCTGAGTTCTTTTCCCTACTCAGCTGCTCTCTGAGGATTATTATTTATTCATTCACATTTATATATAAATCTCTCTCTCTCTCTCTCTCTCTCTCTCTCTCTCTCTCTCTCTCTCTCTCTCTCTTAGTCTCTCTCTCTCTCTCTCTATATATATATATAAATGCAACTTTGAAGCTTGAACTAGGCACAATGTTCAAATCTCTCTAAGTTTCTGCATATTCTACTTCCCACATTCATGCCTTTTTTGTTTCTCCTTGTGGTTCAAATGTAGGCATTAATGGACTTAGATGGAAGTGACTATTCCATTATGAGATTTAAACTTAAATCTTTTTTTTTTTTAGCAAAATAAATCGTAAGATGTGTCTCAATTGACGTACAGACTCTAAAAGCATCCACATCAGTTGAAAATTTTACATAATTTTTTAGGTAACATGTAGGAGATATAAAAGTAGAAGAGAAAAAGAAAAAGTAATCCGACAATCTTTTTTTTTTTTTTTTAAAGGAAAGTAAACGTTGTGGCATCAGCTGGTGGCTACTCTGACGCAGCCCAGCGTGTGCATGTGGAACATGCGCCTGCTATGGGCGCAAAGTGCGCCTAACGTGCAATTCGACGTTTTTTTTTTTTTTTTTTTTTTTTTTTTTAATTCTCCTGCAAAAAATCTTGTTTTTCGGGAGAAAGAATTGGCTTAAAAACCTTGCATCACATCAGCCAGAGCATCCTCGTCAGTTCTTGATTTTTTACGATTTTTTAGGTGCCAATTAGGAGAGAGAGGAGGGAGGGAAAAAAAAAAAAAGAAAAAGGAACAAAAAAATGAATCTAACAAAAAAAAAAAAAACAAAAAGTATTAGATACGCACATGCGCCTACTGAGCGTGAATATTGCGCCACATACCTAAGTTGTCTTTTCTCCTACCATCTTTTTACTTGTCTACTTGGACCCACCAAAAACCAAAATTTGCAGTATAAAAAACCTTCTAAAACTCAGCCTTCCCATTAGTTCCAAAATTCTTCCTAAAAAATCGAACAAAAATCCTTATTGGAGATGCTCTTAGGGCATCTTCAATAGTGGGGATTTTGAGGCAGTTTTTGTAGGTGTGATTAGGAAAGATAAGATGATAAAAAAGAGAGAAAAAGAAAGAAAAAAAACAAATGCTGATTTCGAAAAAAGAATTAAATAAATAAAGTTAAGCACTGCCATTAACACGCACAGGGGGTGCATGCGCCCTGGGCACCTTTATAGCAGTGCACGCGAGCTTTGCGTACGTTACAAGAAAAATTGTGAGGCCCAGCATTTCTGATAAAATTCCTTCCTTGCAGGACCATCTCTAACCCTTTCTCTCTTATACTGCTCTCCTCCACCTCACCAAAGATTTATTAAAATTTGTGCAAAATCCTTGTATTGGGGATGCCCTTAGATCAATAACAAGATCAAATATATACTTACATTTGAAAAATTAAATATATACTAGATTCGAATCTTACACCTTGTAACAGTTAACAAAGCAATACTTATAAACAATTGTAATTTAAAGAGTTAAAAATGTATGATGAAACATGTTCATAGGAAAGTCACCATTGTATTACTTGAATGGTTTTGAATGTTGATTATTTTAACATTTGAAAATTTTCTAGATCAAATTATGGCAATATTGACAATGAATTATGTAGGTATAGTATGACCACATGGAATGTTTTAGTAAAATCCAAAATCCTTAAGTCAAAAGGAATAAACATTATTCAATTCATGGACTCATTACCTTCCCATCATCTTCAAAACCAAGTTTTATATATATGATGACCAATAAATAATAGCTTAGTACACCTATAATCTAGCTAATTTACCTTTTTATTAAATAAAAATTATAAATACATTGAATTTAACAAAATAATTATAATATTTCAACCCAATTAAAATATCAATATAACTTTTAATGCACTAATAACACTTATAAATAGTTAATATATCTTGTATGATAAGACATAACTGCTTTTATACAAATTTAATTTAATAAAAAAAATGGTGAAGTACAAGAAATATGAAGATTCGTATAGATATTTGATCCCGCCGAGAGAGATAGACTAACTTAAGTTAATAAATAACTCCAAGATAATTAAATTTGAGACATTATAATTACTAAATTAATTGTCCGATATATAAGCTAGGATTGTCACCATTATTATTATAAATTATAACTCGTGTTTATAAGATATAATAAAAAAAAACAAAAGAAAATATTAGACGCCGTTTAGTCGTTAGATCTGGAAAAGTAAAAAAATTGGAACGTGTACTGGAAGAAGGCTGCGAAAGCAGGCAATGCCACCTCGTCCAAGCTGACAGCTGCACTGACGTGTCGGCGTACAACGCGGCAATATTCCACGTCATCATATTGATTTTTTTTTTTAAACGAAAGAATTCAAACAAAAAATGGAAGCTTCTGAGATGTATGACTCTGTCTGAAAATTCAGAGATTTGAATCAATCTCTCTCTCATTCAAAAACCCTAATTCATGTATATATTGATGTGTGTATACCCTCCTTATGGTAATTCATTTCGGAGATGCCGAGCGTGACAGTGAAATTATACAGCGTTTTGTTCAAATTCTTGCTTAAGCGCCGATTGCAAGCCTCGAGCGAGTATCTGATCAGCCCCAATTCGGATCCTCTATACGGCATCGTTTCCCGCCCCGACGAGGCCATCGCCGCCGCCAACCCCAGCTTCAGCGACGACGGCGTCGCTACCAAGGATCTCCACATCGACCCCTTGACTGCTCTCTCCCTCAGGATTTTCCTCCCAGATTCAGCTGTCGCTTCGCCTACCGCAATCCCGAAGCTGAAAGCTAGGGTTTCATCGGGGAATTTGAGCTCAAGGAAGGACAACAGTCTGAATCAAGGGTACGGAGGGTACGTGCCGGATAAGAACGCGCGGAACTGCAGGAAATTGCCGGTGATATTGCAGTTTCATGGCGGTGGATGGGTGACTGGGGGCAGTGACACCGCGGCCAACGATTTGTTCTGCCGGAGAATTGCCAAATTATGCGATGCTATCGTTATAGCCGTCGGATACAGGTTGGCGCCGGAGAGTCGTTACCCGGCGGCGTTTGAGGATGGGTTGAAGGCGTTGAATTGGCTCGGGAAACAGGCGAATTTAGCTGAGTGTAGCAGGTCATTTCTGAATGGGAGGATGGTGAGCAGTGAAGATGGGAGAAGAAGACAAATAGTTGATGGCTTCGGGTCTTCCATGGTTGAGCCTTGGTTAGCTGCCCATGCTGATCATTCTAGGTACGATTATCAATTCTTTTTCCTTGGCTATAGTACCTTTCATTTACAATATTCAATTCTTGTATAACTTTAATCTAGTTCTTTAATTGGCAGACTTTCATTACTGATGAACTAGCACTTGTAACTTGTGTTGAGATTAACTTGAATAATAAACCATAAAAATGTCAACTAGATTTACGTGGTTCAGCAATATGCTTACATCCATGAGTTGCAAGCAATATATTTTTATGCAACTCTAAACATGTATATGCATAAAATTACACATGAGACATACACAGCAAATTGTTTTAGAGAAGATCCTTTGTTTGAGCTATATCTCAGTTTGAGTGTATTGTGATGAACTAGCAAACTAGTTACAAGTTAATCTGAATGTGCCTCTTTAAATATAACCTAAATGTTCTTAATTCTTGGTTCCCAAACGTGATCCTTTTGGATTTTGCTTGCAAGGACTGGAGATCCAGATGATAATAGAAATATAGAATGTTTGGGCACTTCCCGTCTATAAAAGTGTTAAACCACCTGCAATCTTTGGTACTGAACTCAGTAAGACCTGGGGTGTTTGAATTCTGATTTAGGTTGGGTTGGAAAAGGTTTGATTTAGCGTCGAACAATTACTGTATACCATTTGCAGACCTACTTAGTTGTGTTGAGATTAGGGAGATATTAGCATAGAAAGAGGGTGAAGCTTGGCACAAGTAATTTGCTGAATAGTGAATCAGTGCTTTCCTAGTATGAAAGTCGGCTTTCTTTCCCCTTGTTTTGATGGTAATTGGTGAGTATTAGCTATCCTGTAACACAGTTGTCTTATACTCTTATAGGTGCGTTGTCCTTGGAGTCAGCTGTGGTGCTAATATTGCAAACTATGTCACGAGATATGCTATTGAGGCTAGGAAGCATTTGGATCCCGTGAAGTTGGTGGCTCAAATCCTTTTTTATCCTTTCTTCATCGGAAACACTCCCACACGATCCGAGATTAAATTGGCTAATTCCTACCTCTATGACAAAGCTATGTCCATACTTGCATGGAAGCTTTTCTTACCCGAAAAGGAGTTCAGTTTGGACCATCCAGCTGCCAATCCACTTGTCCCTGTAAGAGGGGAGATTCCCCTCAAGCATATGCCGCCAACACTCACAGTGGTTGCAGAACATGACTGGATGCGGGATAGGGCAATTGCATACTCGGAGGAACTTAGAAAAGCTAATGTGGATGCCCCTCTTCTCGATTATAAGGATGCAGTCCATGAGTTTGCTACCCTCGACGTGCTGCTCAAGACACCACAAGCCCAGGCTTGCTTAGAGGACATTTCTATATGGGTCAAAAAGTATATCTCACTCAGGGGCCATGAATTCTCTTATTGAATAAACTAGCCAGTAAGAGATATGAAGTGATCATTGGGGCAAATCTTCTTTGATTTTCTAGCAAACAATGGAGAGAGACGGGCGAGTCGAGAACGGAAGAGACTGTTGTAGCATCAAAAACTAATTTGACAAGCTGGGATTCTTGATGACTTATCTGTGCATTAGCAACACTGCCTGCAGGGCCTAGTTCAAAATTTTCAAATCATACTTTTATGTATCATATACATGGTAGGTTGTTGTCAACATAATAGACTTTTTTTTTTTAAAAAAAAAATTTGTTTATATGTTCATTTTTCCTACTGAGGCTTTCTTTTGTGAAGGACAGGGAAATTCAACATGTAAATTCTTTCATCTGTTTGATCCTTAAAAGAGTTTGTTTTTTTGAACTGGGCAGCCTTCAAGGGATTATGTTCTTATTTCACCTTGATTTGATCTTTGTACCTTGTGGG